CCTCCTCCCCTCCCCGCCTCCCCTCCCCCGCTCGTGGCCCAGGCAGCCCGAAACTCTCCAAACTTTTCTGCCTTTTGTGGACTGGATTTGTTTGCACTTCGCCATGTTCTTGCTTTCAGTTTGCTGCCTCGTGATGTTGGGGAGATCTTTCTTTCCAAGCACGGCTTTGTTGGGGGAAAAAAATCAGAAGAACTTTTTTTTGCGCTCTGATTCCCCCCTCCCCCTTTGGTGGAGTTGTTTGTTTCTTCACCCTGGGAAGATGACTGTGTGGCTCTTTCTTTTCTCTCTCTCTCCCTCTCTCTCTTCCTTCCCTCTTCTGTGGCGTCTTGGGCTTTCCTCGGTTAACCCCTTGGCTGCCGCTGCCGGGGACTGAGTGACTGGGCTGCGCCCGACGCGCGGAGTAGAGAGTGATTTTCCTCCAGGCGTTGGACTTGAGAACTAGCGAGCGCGCGGAGCCCGGGGCCCTGGAGAAGCGCTTCGGCTTTCTCTTTCGGCCGGTTATTTATTTAGCTTTCTAGTGGCGATCGCTGGCTCTCAGCCCTCCTCCCCTTTCCCCCTGGAAGGTCACGCTTTTCAGACTGGTCCTACTGCAAACTTGGGGGCTCTGGGCTTGCTTTTCTTTGGCAATCCCGCAGGGCCGCGAGCGCCCTGGGCGCCGTGGCGGGCTCGGCTGCCCGGCGCGCAGACTGCGGGCTCTCCCCGGCCGCGCTGAGTGGGGAGGCCCCTGTGGCCGGGGTTCTTGGTTGGTGTGTAGCAAGGATGGCCTCCTCCGAGCGGACTCGATGTATTTCTAGGGAATTTTGGCGCCTTGGGGTTTATAGTGGGGTCTGCGCTCGCCAGCTTCCGAGAAGGCCTTCAGTGGGCCGTGGGGGGCCAGAGACCAGGGTGTGCGGGGCCTAAAGGTGTGTAGAAGTTATGGGAGGACAAGAGCGGCTCTCCTTCAAGGGAATGGGCTGCTGATCGCGGGCCACTCAACTTTGGGGCCCCCAGGGCAGCGCGGGGTGCCAGGTTCCGGGAGCTCTTCCCTTAGTTTGCGTTCCGCTCCCAGCCCTGACATTTGTCAGTAAGGCTCATCCCCTTCCCCGATCGGCCTGTGCCCCCTGCCCTCGCCCTGAAACCCCCTCCCCCGTTCCAACCCTCCTCTAAAAAGCCTGGATTACGAATCTCTAGACGTTTGTCCCCGATTTCCTGGGATTGTCATTTTGCACCTTGTCTGGTTTGGTCCCTCTACCCCTTATTGACACGCACCACTTTTGTTTTTTCTTTTTCGGTAATTCGAGATAGCAATTTGAAATAAGGCCCCCACTGTTCAGCAGCCGTGATTCGGTGCTAATGGCCGAGGGTTTACCGGACGGGAGTCGATCAGATCTACAAGTGTTTTTTAAGCATTAAAATATTAACTATCAGGTTTGACTTGTTTTTTGGGCCCTGGCAAAAAAGGCAAGGGCATGCTAGACCGGTCATTTTTTACGGCTAGGAAAGAAATAATTATTCTCCCCCTCCCCTGCGCCCAGGCTTCTGCATGCTTGGGAAGCTAGGAGAGCATTTCAGCCCGACCTCCTCCTGCAGAGCCAGCTCTGTCAGGCTGCAGGGGCCGTTCTGTGGATTGCAGCTGTAGGGGAAGCACTGTCCGGTTAGGTTGTATTTTTCTTGGGAGCTTGTGGGCACCTTAAAACGGGAGCATTCGGCTCAGAATCCGGAGGGTTTGTGTACTAACCAACCCGACCAAGCAACATTCCAAAGTAACCCTGAGAATTTTTTACTCTCCTCCCCTCCCCCTGCGATGGAAGCCTCTCTGGTATTATTCTAGAATCCACTTAGCCATCCGAAGGGCCATCTGAATATTGAGCTTTGATGGTGGGCTTGCTGGCCCTCTTGACTCTTTGCAAACTCCTTGTGACTGCTGGCGATCTTGCTGACCTGTCTCCTAAAACTTGACCAGTTGTGTTGTAATTAGGAAGTAGAGAAATTGTTAAAGGCAAATATATGATTTCCCGGTGTGAAGAGGAAGGCTCCCAACCATGGGTCCTCTTTGTGGGCTTTATGGGAATAGACAGCATCTAGTTATTTTAATTGTGGACATAGCGGGTGGCCTTGTGCTGTGACATCAGATTGAGTCGGAGAAGACATTTCTGAACTCAGTAGGCAGTTTTAGTATTTGAATGTCAAACACCAACAGACATCTTTGTGTGTTCTCCTCCTTCCTGTTACCTGGGTTAGATTATGTGCTCCAAAATTAAAGTGATTCATTTAGGCCGGTAAGCAGAGCAATGGAAATGAGGACAAGAGGCTGTTGTGTGTTGCCCCTGACGTCTTCGATCAGAGGGCCAGCTTGCAATTCCAGATTTGATACAGCTGCCGGAGGAGTCTATAGGCAAGATAGCGGTCTTTTCATGCTCATCTGAAATGCTTAGTGTTTCATAGAGTGTGTTTTTGAGGGCAAGGTGTAAAGACAAATTAGCTGTGTGCTTTGTTCTTTTCCCGGCCCTCCTTGGTGGTGGTGTTTTTGCTACATTTTCTGTTACTTATGAGTGTACCTGTAAGCAGCTGCATCCTTTAAAAAGCAAACTCTTTGGATCCTTGATTTCTGCTTTTCTGTTTTAAGAATGTAAAGAATTAAGGAGTATCATTAAATCGGCTTATGATGAATAATACATTATCTCAAGAATAATGCTTTAATTGCTGAAGATGCCGTAAAGCTTGATAGTAATAAATTTATTTTAAAACGACAAAGATTTCTGCATAACATTAATTTAGTCTTTGATACGGTAATAGGAAGGGCTTTTAAAAAGACAGATTCGAATACAAGAAAGCATTAAGGAGAGAGGTCTAGTGAAGTGGATGGGAAGTCACAGAACTGCAAATATTAGAATTGTGGTTACATTTGTATACTAAAGATAAGAATACTGTTACCATATTAAAGTTGAAAGGAAAAAGTAGTTTTACATTTCTTCTCCTTCCTGCCGAATGAGAAATAGGAATATGGTGGTTGAAATTCCAGTTATGTTTGAAATTTCTTTGTAAGGGCTTGATTATTAGAGCTGTCGCATCTTGTTTTATCCAAAGTTATTTGCTTTTCAACTGAGCTGTTTGCTACCAGGTTGAACAAATAAATAAGCGGCATCTTGAATTCATTTTTGAACTTGGAATCCGGCATTTAAAGGAAACCAAGAGGGGCCTGTTCGTTGGGGTTTTATTTAGCCCGGCAACAACTTCTCTTTCTGCCTTGTGAAAGATGGATTTCTTCTCCTGACTCAAACAACATAATCCTTTCAAATACAAAAGATTTAGACCTTGGCGTGTGAAGGGTTAATGGTGGTCCTTCCCGGTTGCCTCCTGCCCCCCACCATCACCCCTGATTGTTTTGACAACACTTTTCAAAGTGTGACATTCCGAGCCCCTCCATAACAATGTAATATTACTGTCATTACACAGGTCATTACATTTTAAATAGAGAACAATAAAATGCTTATCGCCCTGAAAAAGAACAGGTGTTCTTGCCCTTCTTTGGTATTTATGCTAATTGTTTTTCATCTCCTTCAGAAATATTTATGGCGAACATGTTTAGATTTCAGTCTCAATGCAACGGTATTAATTCCATGCTAATCTTTATAGGTTGGGGTTTAATGTCTGCACTATGGATTATGGGCTCAACATTCACCCAATAAGTCATATTTTAATGATTATAAATTTAATATGCCAGCGCTTTGCAGTTTGTTGAAATTAAAGCTTTCTGAAGCCCCAGAAACAAACTATTAGGCAGTTGGGAGCCTAACGTGCTTATCTGGAAGAAGTGTTTCTGGAAACTTCTGACTGCCTAAGGGGGGTAGCTTTCATTTGATGCCCCCTATCTGATTGAGAAAAGATTTGGAGGAAAACAATCCCGGTTCTTGCTAGGAGTTTTCCACCTTGATTTTAATTTTTCTGATACGGAGTTCATCGAGAGTCACTGCTGGAAGCTGGGAAGCTTTCTGTTTCTTAAGCTGTGAAAAAGTTACAGGAAGGTTTCCGGGGGCTGCCAGATCAAGAATGCTGTTCTGTTAGCAGCGCAGGATAACTGCAGTTCTGCACGCCATTAAAAAAATATTTGCTTTAGAAAACTAGCATTTTAATAGTTGCACCAGAGGCTGTGCTTTTAAAGATGACAGTAGAAGTCTTTCCAGGTTTTGAATGCCTCCTTACATCCCGCGAGGTGCCTGTGTGCCGGCAAAAAGTGCCTAGATTTCTTGGTTGAGAAATCCTGGTGCAACTTCTCTTACACATGCACAGTGGGTAAACTAGAAGGTATCTAAGAGGATTTTACATTTTGTCAGATGTTTCACAACAGGGGCCCCCGAATCACATTAAAAATGCACTGTAGAGAAGGGACAGCTGCAAATTTTTGTGTGGACGCGTGTTTCTGGACCATGACTAAAACTCCGAGGACCTTTTCCCCAGCTGTCTGGAAGTTATGTGGAAGTTGGTTTATTGGCAGTTAAGTATGAGACAACCTGGATTTAGCAAAAGCTCTCTCCTACACAGGAAGTAGATGACATTCTGGGGGGGAAGGGACGAGACTTCAGGCAAGGAGTGATTTACTCCTTTTTTGTTTTTTTAAACCATGGAGTTGCTAAATAAATAAGCACTTTCCAAGGAAGTAGGTGTAAGCTTTTTAGTCTTGGTTAAGTGGAATTAGATAATATCTTTAACCGCATTTATAGCTTTTTGGAGGCGACACTTTTCAGAAGTTTTAAAAAGGAGGGGTAAATCAAATTCTTGAGGCTTTTATTTTTGAAGGGGTGTGTGATGTGGGCGTCTGAGTTTCTTCTGGGAGTGAATATTGGCAATGGTGTAAGTAAATCTTCAACTCTGACTTATAATTGAGCACATTTGTGAAGGAAATGGTTAATTTTACAACCAAAGGCAAACTTGCACCTCGACAGGTCTGCTGAAAGAAATGTGCCCCAGTCCTTTGCTGGCAAGCGCCACCGGGTCATAAATCCACAGGCTTTATTTACAGCCCATAACACTTATGAATGTTAAGATATTTGACGCCACGTTGGCCTTATAATATTCAAGGTCCGCAGACATTGGCAGTAGCTCAAATTTCTCTCACTAATTATAAGCAATGAGATGGGGGGGAGCCCATTGCAAATGCTGCCCTCCCCCCTCCTCTGACCCCCACCTCTACAATCTGAGCTTACTGAGACAGACACACTTTCCTTTGGCAGCTGATTTGTACTTTTCCTCTAGGCTATTGTTACACACATTTATAAAGAGCACTTTCAGGGATGGAAATTCAGTGGGGGGGTTCTGCACAAATGCCTTTTTCAAAAGCAAAGTTGCTCTAGGTATTTGCATCTTTTTCCTTTTTTCTGGTTTCTCTCATTTTCCTTTCTTTCTCTTTTCTTCTTTTTATTTTTGGAGACTGTGTTGCCTATATTGTGATATTTCCCAGAATACTTAGACCTGATATGGGAGACTGCTCTTTAATTTATATGACGTTCCATTGAGTGGGAAGGGAAAAAACACACGTTGTGTACTGCGCTAGTTAAGGTGAGGGTTTGAAAAAGAAAGTGAGGTGGGGTGAGGAGAATTGATTAAAAGAATTTGATAGATGAGAAAAGAAAATCCAGGTTTACGTTAGGGATGGGAAGGCCACTCATTTGGGAAAAGTTGACCAGTATCTGGGAGAGGAAGCACAGAAAATAGCCAGGGAGGCAGAATAAATGCTTAACTAAGAAAGATTAGAAAAGTATAAGAAGATGGGATGAAAATTTGGGCTTGAGGGAATGGCTTGATTGAAATTGGAGATTGAAAATTTCTTATGAGAAATGGAAGTACCATGCGGGGGGGCCAGCTGTTAAAAACTGTGTTGCCTGGCTCAGGAAGGACTGTTCCCATCCACTCCATACCCAGAGCT